CTAATTGTGATGCAGACAAGCAATGCCATCACTTGGGCACTTCTTTTTCCATACTTGATCACCAGGTTGCTCAAGAACAATGGGTTCAAAACACCCCGTAATGAGGAGAAGCTGACGAATGTGTTTCATTTTGACCTTGAGACTTGGAAGTCGAGCACTGTCCAGCTTAAGACGTCTCGACAGGCCCGCATTGGTGATGAGTTGGATTAGGGAGCTCCGGCTGCCCCTGGTGCCCCTGCCCCAGTTACACCGCCGCCGCCTGTTATGTCTCGAGTTAATTATTACTCTCTCAGAGCTCGTGTTGATACACTTTACATGCAAGTCGGGAACATTGAGGGCACCCTTAAGGAGACTCTGGAAGGATAGAAGATGTTACAGACTATACTCTAGGCTCTGATTGACCGCACCCCAAGCGGCACCGGTGGTTCATCATCCACTCTGATGGAGTGATTTTGTGCTTTCCATATCTATTTTGCTTCTAATAGTACTTTTGGATTTATTTTGGGCTGCTTTTGGCATTTGCTTTTCAGTTCCTATTTTGCTTTTCTAACTGCAAGTCTTTTGCTATTTTGCATGGCTATTTGGTTTTTAGGTAAATAAAATTGCAGTTTTTATATTCATCTCTGTCTGGATTCATATGATGCTTGTTATGTATAGATGTGTTTTGACAGGTTCTTAAAATCAAGTTTGGGGGCGTGTTCTTGGAATTCACAAGGTGGTTTTTTTTTTTGCACCGCCACTGAATTTCCTCCTCCTCTTGGTATTATTGCTCTTTGTACCCGCTTTTTATTTCCCTTTTCATTCTTTGTCTTCTCCCATTGAGGACAATGTGACATTCAAGTTTGGGGGTGCATTTTTGGTATTATATTTTTTCTTGCATGTTTAACTTGATTCATGTAAGTTAATAAAAATCACTTTTGGGAAGCAATGATCTTGTAATCTTGGAATTTGTTGGAGATTGAAGCATGTGTTTAATACTTTGTGTATAGAGGCAAATGATAGTTTTGAAAATAAAGAAAAATTTGAAATGATCATGTTGATTCATATCGGTTTGTATAAATGCTTCAATTAGATTTTCGTCGGTTTTCATACTCTTTTATGCTTCACACTGCACAGATGCACACCGGAAACTCAATTATGAGGCATGCAACCTGATTGACCTTGACCTTGACTCAATTAATTTAAATTGATGACCCTAATGAATGGATATCTTTGGCATGATCTAAAAAAAAAAAAAAAAAAAAAAAAAAGAAGAAGAAGAAGTGATGAATAAGGATAATGACTAGTTTAAGTTCGTAGCCTTGCTAACTCAAGTTATTAAGCCCTTGGAGTGTCTTTACACTTAGCACCCTAAAGACATCCGGTTTGAGAGTTGCTGGCCTAACACTTGCTACATGGGTTACTTAGAAAGCTTAAGGGACTTTGGTATTGCACGACCATAATATGTATCATAAAAAAAATAAAAAATAAATAAATAACAACAAAAGTTGTTTTCTGAATAAATTCATGCCTTAGAGACCTCATTCAGAAGGGAAATTCAATTATTTGAAGCTGGTGTTTTGAAATTGGAAAAAGAAGGTAACAGTCACATATTGGGAATCTGGTTCACTTTCATTGAAGTTAGAGTTAATTTCTATTAAAGAGATCACAATTGAAGTATTTATATAGCTATGATGTTGATGCATGAGAATTGAAATGTGTTTAACTGTTGTGTTATATCAAGGCTTCATATAAACAAGGTAGTCCGCAAAATAATTCCGTTTCTAATATTCTGTCTATTCCAAGTTGCTAGTGAGCTGTGTGTGTGTATTTTCTTGCACCATGATTGATGTATGTTGACAGCATTTCAAATGTTGTCATTTTGTCAAGAGTTTCATTTTTGGTTTTGTTATGGGATTAGCAAAATGTAAGTTTGGGGGTGTGATAAGCGCCAAATATTGCATATTCAAGCGCTCTTATTTGCATTAGTTAAGTCCATTAGTTGATTATACTGTATAGATTAGCTTTAATTGCATACCTTTGTCTATTTTCAGGTTGGTTCCCCAAAGAATGTTAAAAGTGATACTTTGACAAGTTTTTGAAGATCAAAGTACGTCATTGCCAAGGACTGTCATTTTAGCCAAGTCAAGTGATCCATGGATTTCATGACGCTCTATGCACAAGGTCTTAGGAAGAAGAGTTGCATCAACAGTCCGCGCCAAGAGAGGTTCAAGAGCAAATATTCAGAGCAAAAAGCTCAGAACTCGCAAGCACCCGCCCAGAATCTGCAAGCGCCCGCCCAATCGACCAGAGAATTTGTGCATCGTGGGGCCCGCCCAGAATCCGCGAGCGCCCACCTAATCAACCAGAGAATTTGTGCATCGCTGGCCCCCGCCTAAGAGCCATGGGCGCCCTCCTTGTGCCTACGGGCACCCGTCGATCTGCAAATAACAGATCAACCACTCTATGGATTTGCTGAAAGTTGTCCCCTTTGACCCCATTGTGTGGTTCTGCTGCTTCTAGGGATTTTGGACCACGAAATTGGAGTGGTTAAAAGGCTAAGGTTGATTTATTAAGGGCTTGGGGGCTTTGTAAAGGGGATATCTCACATTTTTTTGTAAGATTTAGAAAGGGAAATATTGAAGTCTTGAGTTTGTGGGTTGTTCTTGACCCTTAAGGTGCGAAAATGGAAGGCCTCATCCTCTCTTCTCCTTCCTCCATTGCTCCTATAGGTAACTAATTCCCTTTCTAGGGAGGTGATGAAGCCCTACTTTGTAAGCATGCCTTAGTTTTGGTTTAATTTTGGGGTAGTGATGTATATATGTGGTTTTTCCATGATCTAGAGCACTTTACATGTTGTAATGAACTTCAATGTCTATAAATGATCATTTTGAGTCAATTATCTTGTCTTAGATTGTTTCCTCTTATGATTATATTGTTTTCATTTTTATAGTGACAATGGAAATGAGATTGTAGAAGTGTTTTTATTGGCATGTTTTATAAGAATTTGTTAGTACATGGCTTAGGACCTCCCTTTGATGGATTAATCTTGAATCTTAATTTCATGTGCTTTTATCATTTAATTGAGGGTTTGATAATCTCTAGCTTAGTGAGCATGTCTGAGGTTACACCCTAGTTTAGGTAGTTCAAGTATGTGAAACTTTGATAGGTTATTCTTGCCTTTTGATTTCATGAATCTCTTGAAGGTAATGTAGCAATTTTGTGTTGTTGCATTCCATGGTCATATATATATGTTGTTTCCCCTAGTAAATCAAGTTCTAGCATGTTTATAGGTGGGTAGTGGATTCACTTCCCTAGTCCTCCCTACCTATATTTCTTTCCTCTTAATTTCTTTGCAATTATTGTTTTATGCACTCTTTAATCCCTAGTTCTAAGTGACAAACCAATCAAAAACTCTATACCCTTTCATCAAACTAAAAGTGAATTTAAAGACCTTGGTTGCCATAAACTAGTAGTCCCAGTGATTCGACTTACTCGTCCAATAGCCCTATTTTACAATGATTTGTGATATTGCAAAGGGTTGATTATTATTGATAGTCGACGAGACTCGATCACTTTTGGCCATCACTCTTTCAAGATGCATGCTTATTCTGTAGATCATGCCTTAGATGTTAGCAGCTATGATCAATTTCCAGAAGGAACATGATGCCCTTAACTCCAATCTTAATTATTGAGGTTTTTGATGTTTGGGGTATTGATTTCATGGGTCCTTTTGTTCTGTCCAATAAAAATGAATACATTAGTGTGGCTGTAGACTACGTGTCTAAATGGGTGGAAGCAGTCACTACCAAAACCGCCGATCACGCAGTTGTGGTTGAGTTCATTCAAATGAACATCTTTAGTCGGTTTGGTATGCCACGAGCTATAATTAGTGATGGAGGTACTCATTTCTGTAATAGGTATTTCCGTACCTTGATGCAAAGATACTCCATTACTCATAAAGTTGCTTCTGCCTATCATCCCCAAATAAGTGGCCAAGTAGAAATATATAATCGTGAAATTAAGAGAATTCTTGAAAAAACGGTTAAACCAGATCGTAAAGATTGGTCTTATAGACTGAATGATGCTTTGTAGGCTTACAGTACTGCATATAAGACTCCGATTGGTATATCACCTTACCGTTTTGTCTATGATAAAGGGTGTCATTCATGTAGAGTTAGAACACAGAGCTTTCTAGGCCATTAAAAAGCTCAACTTTGATATAACATCTGTTCGTTCTAACAGGAAGTTTCAATTAACTGAGCTTGAAGAATTACGTAATGATGTTTATGAGAGTGCTAAGGTTTATAAAGGAAAGATTAAGGCATTTCATGACAAACATATTTTGCGTAAGACTTTTGAGCCTGGGAATAAGGTTTGGTTGTTTAATACAAGACTAAAACTTTTTCCTGGAAAGTTAAAGTCATGTTGGGAAGGTCCATACATGGTTATTTCTGTTACAACTTATGGTGCAATAAAAATACAAGATTACAAGACTGGACAACTGTCCAAGGTCAATGGACAAAGACTTAAACCCTACATAGAGGGTAGTGTGTAGAGAGGCACAATTGAGGCAGTGGAACTTCATGATCCTATTTACTTAGACTAAAGAGGTCAAGTTTTCGTCGAGCTATCGACGTTAAACTTAGCATGCTATCAAGCTATCGAAGCCATGGCAAATGGACTTTCCCCCGTAGGCCACTGTGGAGTGGTTCGGTACGCCCAAAGCACCTGAGGGAGATTCTCGTACCATTTTGTTTTGAGTTTCTCCAGCTTCTTCTTTAAACAACTGAAAATGATTCGGTTAGTTATTTCAGCCTGTCCATTTCCTTGTGGATGACTGACTACAGCTAGCTTTTGTACAATTCCATGCTCAGCGAAGAATTTTATTGTACTTTTATTATCGAGGTTCTTACCATTGTCCATCATAATGACTTTTGGGACCCCAAACCAGCAAATGATGTTGTTCCAAAGGAAACTTTTTACCTACTCATAGGTCACACTTGAGTAAGCCTCGGCTTTTACCCATTTAGTAAAATAATCTGTAGCCAGTAGTACGTACTCCTTTTGTTCCACGGTCTTGGGTAAAGGGCCACCATATCAATCCCCCATTGTGCGAACAGCCATGGATTTGCCATTGCATGCAAATCTTTGGTAGGTTGATGCTTCATTGGATCGTGGTGCTGACACTTGTCACATCTCTGAGCATACTCTTCAGCATTCCGGGCCAAGTACGGCCAGAAGTATCCTTGAGTTAGAACGTTATGTGTAAGGGATCTACCCCCATAGTGGTTGCTGCAATCTCCATCATAGATTTGTTTCAATACCACAAGAGCCTCAGTAGAGCTTAAACATTTCAGGTAAGGACCTGAAAATGACTTCCGGTACAACTGGCTGTTAATGATGGCATATTTAGCTGCAGTGAGTCGGAGCTTCCGTACCTTAGTTTTCTGGTTTAGAAGAGTTCCATGCTTGAGGTAGGCTTCCAATGGATCAATCCAGCATGGCTCTCGCGGAATAACTGGAATCACCATTACTTCTTGCTGAGGGTTGCTGGGTTCGTCTAAGATGTCAATTGGCATAATCCAAGTCAGATCTTCATTTGAGGATGACGCTGCTGTAACCAATTGATTTACTTCGGCATTCTCAACACGAGGTACCTAGTGGAATTCAACTTGATCGAATCTTCGTGTAACATTCTCCACAACTTCTTTATATGCTTTCATCCTTTCCTCTTTGGGATGATACTGACTTGTCACTTGATTAATAACAAGCTGTGAGTCACTAAAAACCTTTAAACAACGTACCTGGAGGCTGCTGGCCAATCGAAGACCAGCAAGTAATGCCTCATATTCAGCCTCATTGTTCGTAGCAGAGAAATTTAAGCAAATGGACTGCTGCAACTTGGTGCCTTTGGGTGTTGACATAACAACCCCAACTCCTGCACTTGTTTGATTCAAGGAGCCATCGACCCGAAGCTCCCACTGTGGTTTAGGGGGTTCTGGCTCTTCAGGAGTGTCTTCATATTCTAAAAGAAAGTCTACTACGGCTTGTCCCTTGTGCGACACTTTCGGCTCATAAGTTATATCGAAGGAACTAAGCTCGATAGCCCATTTGGTAATTCTCCCAGATAGATCTGGCTTAGAGAGTATACCTCGTATAGGATAGTTGGTGAGTACCATAATGCTATGGGATTCAAAATAATGCCGAAGCTTCCTTTTGGCATAAACCAAGGCTAGAATGATTTTCTCTGCTTTGCTATACCACGTCTCCGCATCTGTCATTATCTTACTTATGTAGAAGATTGGATGTTGCCTCTTTCCTTCCTTTCCAATCAATGCTGCACTTGTTGCTATGCTAGAAATTGCTAAATACATAATAAGAACCTCCCCGGGTTTTGGAGCGGATAGAATTGGTGGTTTGGCCATATAACCTTTCAACTGATTGAGGGCCTCCTGCTGTGGAGGTCCCCATATATCTTTATTCTTAGATCTTATGGCATCGAAGAATGATTTACACTTATCCGATAATCGGGATATAAACCGGCTGAGGGCTGCAATCCGATCGGTAAGAACTTGTACCTCCCTACGATTTTTTGGTTCCTGATTCTGCATGAGGGCCTTAGCTTAAGCCAGACTTACCTCTATCCCTCTTTTATTCACTATATGGTGGAGGAATTGACCTGATGATACTGCAAAGGAGCACTTGGATGGATTCAGCTTCATGTTGTACTTCTTCAGACTATTGAAAACTTCCTGGAGGTGCTTCAGATGGTCTTCCTTCTTCACACTTTTGACCACCATGTCATCTATGTATGCTTCAAGTGTCTTCCCTAACAAATTGTCAAAGATCTTGTTAACAAGGCGTTGATAAGTAGCCCCGGCGTTCTTCAGCCCGAAGGGCATGACCCTGTAACAATAAGTCCCCTTTTCTGTAATAAAAGCCATTTTCTCTTCATGTTCTGGGTTCATAAGAATTTGATGGTATCCTGAGTACACATCAAGGAATGTCAGCCTCTCGTAGCCAGTAGTAGCATCAACCATCTAATCTATCTTTGGCAGAGGAAAGCTATCTTTAGGGAAGGCTTTGTTAAGGTTGGTATAGTCTACACAAACCCTCTATTTTCCATTCTTCTTTTGTATGACCACCATATTTGACAGCCATTGTGGATATTGCACTTCTCGAATGAAACCTGCTTACAACAACTTGTTCACTTCTTCAGCTATAATGCGATAACATTCGGGGGCAAACCTTCGGTGTTTCTGCTTAACCGGTTTGAACTCCGGATCCACCTTCAGGCTATGGCAGGAGACTAAAGGATTGATTCCTACCATGTCCGAGTGATCCCATGCAAAAGCATCTGCATTGCTCCGAATGACATCAATTAATGCTTTCTTTTCTTCAGACGTGGAAGAAGAACCTAAATAAGTGACCTTCTAAGGGTCGCCGAGGATAACTTCTATGGCTTCAAGGGTCTCCTCGGTAGGCTTCGCAATTTCCTCTTCCTCCTCTACCTTAAGATACTTGGGCAGAGGGCTCTATGATTGCTATTTGGGTATATTTCTGGAAGCCACCCCTGGTTGTTGCTGTGTAAACACCTTCTTTGCTTCAGCCTGTGTTAGCATATAGCATTCCTTCGCAGCGACTTGATCGCCCTATAGGTTAATCACTTCTTTCCGTCCGGAGACAAGCACCGCATCACCTGGTGAAGGGTGGACAGAACTCCTCTCATCCGGTGTATCCAGCCTCTTCCCATGATGAGATTATAAGAAGGATGGATCTCTGTTAAAACAAAGTTCTCCTTCAAAGTCCTCTTCGCCGCAGTTACGGATAAGTCTATTACTCCAAGGGGATTTACTCTTATGCCATCGAGCCCCATCAATGGGCTGGAGGTAGGTCGAATAGATGATGATGGGATCTCTAGTTGCTCAAAGAGCGTCTTTGTGATGATGTTGGCGCTACTTCCTGGGTCTATCAAAACCCTCTTGATCATGCAATTTGCCACTAAAAGACTGATGACCAATGGATCCTCATGGGGGAGCTGAACTCTGGATAGATCGCCATCACCGAATCCAATACTGATGCTACCCGAAGCGATAGTATTGACTGAGGATATCTTCCTGAGCTTATGAGCTGCCCTCAATCTGGATCTATATATCACCTCAGATTCTTGATCATCTTCAGATCTGCCATGTATTACGTGAATGACCTTTACTTGAGTTCCTTCTACCTTGCGAGGATAGACCTCGCGGGCTTCACATACTCCTTTGTCATGAGGTAGTCTACCAACTCTCCTTGGGCTATCATATTTTCCACTTGTCGCCTAATGGATCTACAATCATTGGTTGAATGCCCATAATCTCAGTGATAAGCGCAATGCTTGCTTTTGTCCCTCTGCTCTAAGGGTTGCTTCATTGGCTGTGGGGCTGTGAACTTCATCTTATTCTCTTGGAAGAGCCAAGCTAAGGTAGTTTGGAGAGGTGTAAACCCTTCCTCTATCCTTTGCCTCTTCTCAGGTGCCTGGGTGATCGGCGTTGAGGCGCCGTTGGCTTTTCTGAATCTTTGAATTTGGAATTCTCTCTCGAGGCTTGTTCTCCACCGTCACGAGGGTGGCATGCTGTGCTCAGTGGGCTACATTTCCTCGAGCCGAATGTAAATCTGGGCCCTAGCATTGAGAGTCTGCATATCGGGAGGAGAATATTTGACCAAGGAAGTGTGAAACTTCATCCCCTGAATCATCGCAAGTTTAAATGTTTCTATAGCAGTCGCGGGATGACAATCTGCTATTTCTGAGGCTTCCATGTTGAATCTAGATAGGAAATACTACAATGTTTCCCCCTTCTTTTGCCTTACGGTGAAGAGACTAGCAATACTCTTCTTTTGCTTCTTATTTTCGCATTATTGTGCCAGGAACATGATGCACAGAGTTACGTAATCCGAGATGTATTTATGTGGCCTATTCCTGAACCACTCTAGTGCTGCTCTTGTCAAGCTGGTAGGAAAAACTCTGCACATCCAAGGGTCATTACGGTCATCCAAAGTCATCTTTTGGGCGTAATGATCTAGGTGTCAAGAAGGATCCCCCGTACCATCAAACTGAGTAAAAGAAGACATGGTAAATTTCTTGGGCCTCTCAACCATATACACGTCATCAGTGAAAGGAGTTTTGACCAGGGAGTTTTTGTGCTCTCTAGCCATCTCAGTAGGTGTCTGAATCTTCAGGAGTCTTTTCTCATCAAAGGCTTCCTGAACACCTGCGCCATCTGGAATTCCATTAGACCACACCGTGAGCTTATAGCTAGACTCAACTTGCTCATCCTGCGTGTAATGAGGGACATTGTCTAAAGCAACAGCCTCGGACCTTACCCTCTGTTGTTGCTGAACCTCATTTGGCTAAGCCTTGTTAGGTCGTGCCCCATTAGGTGGAAGCCTGTTAACCAGAGGAATATTCTGATTAGGGGGTGCTGCTATGTCACCTAGTGGTGGCGGTGGTGCTAACTGAGCCATCGCCGTTTGTAGAGTGTCATTCTGCTGTTGAAGCAAGGCGATCTGAGCCACGCTAGCTTCGTTTGCTTGACGAAGTACGTCAAACTGGTGTAGAAACTCTTCACGTATCTTCTGCATCAACTCCGTCTGTTGATCCGTTGAAGATCCTCCGTTCGACATTCCGGATGGTAGTTACAGGATTCACCTGTGAAACAAGAGTGGGAATATATTTACACACGTTCCCACAGACGGCGCCAAAGTGTGGGTGCAAAATTCCGCTCAACCAATAACGATTGAGAAAATTAATACAACACACTCAAGAATAGTAAAAATAAACAAGAACAATGTATAAAGAAGAATAGAATTGCTTGGCCCTTTTATTGGAGGTCTAGGCCTCTATTTATGCACAAAAGTTGGTAGAATTATGGTAGGACTCGCGTTGCTTGTCCTCCAATTCTTCCCATACATGACTTTCTTTACAAATAGAGTTCTTTCTATTGTATGATATTTCCTACGTAGAACTTGCTTTGTATATAACTTTCCTTCTGTGTTGACTCCTTTGCTTAATAGGACTGGGTTATATTTAATTGTACTTGGCCGGATGCAGCTTGGTGTAAGTGACTTGACCAATGGGCCGGAACTTCAACAATGGTGACGTTGGGCTGATTGATGCTCTTACCTAGCCTTGGAGGCCCAATATAAATGATACTGGGTTAAAGTATAATGTAATTTGGGCTTGATTCGGATGGGCTTCTGAAATCTACCAAATGTAGATTTATAGACTGATGACGTGTTCCATTCTTATTAGAGGGAGATTTTTCCCTCCATGGTGTGGTTTCAACCTACTTGTGCATGGAAGGTGGTTTCGTGCATTATTTAATTAGGTATAAGTTGTGAACTTATTTATTGATTTTGGAGTCACTTAGGACATAGTTACAAAGACATTGCTAGAGTTTTGCTCTAATACGGGAGGTATGAGGTCTCCCCATTTTATAGTGCGCACTAGGGTGGTATTCCCAGCGAGTTAGTTCCGGAATAACCGTTTAGGTCTTGGTTTACTTCGGGATTTAATGTCCAAGTTTTTCACTATTTGATTTTGCATTCAATTCTAAGTTGACAACCAATGCTTAATTGTGACTTGTAATTTAGGTTGTTGACAATTTAATGTTGTTAAGTACATTTATGCATTATGATTTTTAATGAATCATTGCAATTTTGTTGTTGTTAAGTACATTTACGTTATAATGTTCAAATGTCGCTTAGGAATGATCCTATAGATTCATTGGGAACATAGACATTAGGTGGCATGACACACTTTAGTTATTTTCCGCATTTTAGATTTCAAGTTGATGACTTTGATAATCTATATATTGTTGCGTTGTACCGTAAGCTCCTATGTTGTTTAATTGCATAAAAATGTAGTTTATGCTAGAAATCTTTTAAGGTAGCTTAGGATGCTCATTAGGTCTCACTCTTAACACAGACGCTAGGTGGAATGAACCACAGTGATTAAATTATGCAAACTTGTAAAACATTAAGTCTTTGCATGCTTATCTCCTACGAGTAGCTTTATATTACTCACCCCAAAGTTATCGGGGACATTTTTCAGGTACAGGATTCAAGATTTGGGGGTCTGCATTTGCCTTGGGTGATTTGTAGATTTGAAGTTTTTTAAAATGTATTCTTGTTCACATGCAAGTGTTAACATGTTTAAGTTTTACCTTTAAAATTGTAATACTTAGTTAGGTTTAATATGCCGTTTTTGCCTTATGATATGTAAAGCGTACTTAGATATACTATTTGGAGCCCATTTAAGATGTATAATTTGAGGTCAATAGCCAAACATGATCACCTCTACACTTGTACTCATTAGACACCTTATTTCGTATTAATATTGCATTTTTCTAACATTAGAGGTTTGATATGTGATTTAGAGTAAATGAAATGTAATGAGGCCGTAGGCCATTGTAGCATGCCTAATGTTATTTTATGTTTACGGGCATGCTCACAAATACACAATTTTAAGTTTGATCATGCTGTGCAGTATTCAAATAGGACTTAAGGACTTCTTTTCAGTTTTGGTACATGGTAGGCTGCATTTTCAGTTTTTCAACCTGTTTTGGTCGAC